ACCACTACCACTACCACTAGTACTCATTGATATACAGTAACAACAGCAATTCACCACGTATTCCTCACTCAACTTCTTTGTTTTCAGCATCGCAATGAAAGCATCCACTACCATCATACTACTGTATCTTGTAGCGACAATTTCTCTCCTACCATCCAGCACTGAAGCTGGCGTCGTCAGAGGAAATGAGTGTCTTCAAAAATGTGCCAAGATGACATTCAACTGTGAGCGACTGTGCAACAGTGGCTTTCGAGCTCGATTTGGAATAAAGAAAAGCTGTGAAGAAATATGTTATGATAACTTTATAGATTGTGTTATGGAGAACAATTGTGAAAACTAGTCACGTGGACTGACCCRCGCCTATATAATCAATCAATCACTAACTATAAATAACTATTATTATCGATTAACTATTTATTCTCTCTGAAATATGTCTGTGTATTTTGGAAAATCTAATAAAAATTGTCGTTGTTTATTTGAAAAGGTAAAAGTTGCTGTTAAATCCAAAGAAAATTGTTAATAAAGATTTCAGGAAACTTGTTCATTAGCTTGTGCAAGATTTTTTTCTCTGAATGACACATGGTCTGAAATGGGTAAACATTGCAAAATAGCTGAAAAGCATTCCTAGTAAAGAAAGAAATAATACTCAAGGGAATGATATATGGTCTGAAATGGGAAAACATTGCATCATAGCTGAAAAGCATTCCTAGTAAAGAAAGAAATAATACTCAAGGGAATGACACACGGTCTGAAATGGGAAAACATTGCACCATAGTTGAAAAGCATTCCTAGTAAAGAAAGAAATGATACTCAAGGGAATGACACACGGTCTGAAATGGGAAAACATTGCACCATAGCTGAAAAGCATTCCTAGTATAGAAAGAAATAATACTCAAGGGAATGACACACGGTCTGAAATGGGAAAACACTTTACCATAGCTGAAAAGCATTCCTTGTAAAGAAAAAAATAATACTCAAGGGAATGACACGCGGTCTGAAATGGGCAAACATTGCACCATAGCTGAAAAGCACTCCTAGTAAAGAAAGAAATAATACTCAAGGGAATGACACGTGGTTTGAAATGGGAAAACATTACAGCACGACGAAATAGGTCTATATTTAGCGGATTTGTTGAAGGAAGGAAATCGAGAAAATCCTCGATTCAATGTGGAGAAAGAGACCCAACAAGCTCTACTCAACTTTTTCAACGAGCTAGGTTTATTWTCAATATTTTGTTACTTCGTATAAAGGTTTTGAATTCTCTTTCCAAGCAACGAATAGCAAAACTGATTATCAAGAAAACTTAGTATAGTAACTGAAGTAACTGAAAAACGACGAAAATATTTTAATTTGTTTACATTTTTTGTTTTATTTTTTACTTGATTGGATTATTGTTTTTTTAGTATTCCATATCTCATTCTAAGCAGCTCATATAACACACATCAAAGACCTCTTGACACAAGGCCTCRCAGTTCTGACTTGACGGGCAGACACGTGATAAGCACTTCATTCTACCATCGTGACAAATTCTGGAGCACATKGCTTCGGATGTAGCTGGTAGTGCGCTTGCGCTATGGTGGAAGGCTGCTGTGCAGACGGTCAGAATCAGAGCTACCATTGATAGATTCATCTGAAAAGATTCAATCATATTTTAGATTAAACTTGCAAAACCTTGTCTTTGAGAGGAGAGATTAGGAGCAAATATGATATTTTTGGTTCGTCTTTCCGAGTTCTTTCTTTYTTTCTTTTTTCGCTATATCTTTTTTCAGAGTTTTTAATTCAAAAAGTTTCTTTGACTTGTCATGGGATACTAATATTGATACTACAAACATTGCATAGACTATTGCAGCTYGAGCATTTGGTAAGTTAAAACGAGTCTTTTACTACAAGATAAACCACACGCTCTACTTATTATAGCCAATACATCTCTTTTYGTATMAATACAGAATTATTTCCTTTACCGTTCCATAGCAGTGAATTACAGCTCGAGTCATTGCGGTAAAGAGTCTTTTACTAAGCCCAAACCAAGCTAAAACAACATGGTTTACTTATTATCGTAGCAACTATATCTCTTTTCGTAAAACTACAGGAATACTTTGCTATWCTTTGCAAAGTGATTGCAGCTCGAGTCATCGCTGGTAAATTATAACGCGTTAACGAGAGTCTTTTAGAAGCCAAAACCAGGCTAAACCAACATGCTTTACTCAGTATTGTAGCGAATACATCTCTTTCTACACAAATACAGAATACTTTTCTTTGCACTTTTGGCTTACATCTCAACATATATAGTATCTTTTTCTTTTTTCTCGGATTAAAAACAATGTAAATACTTACCTTTCTACAGATAGAAGACTTGCTAACCAATTCAAAGAAGTTTCCCCAAAACCGTTTTATTAAGCAAACGACAAAATCTCGTAGTTATATAGCCCTCAATGTTTTGAAATAATTCCCTCAAACATGCGCCGGAGTAGTTCCGGAGAGTCTACAATGCGCCAGTTAATAACCTAAGAAGATAAGTAACAGGAACTGCTTTTAWTCAGCTCTAACACTTCATTGTCTTTTCTATATCCGACAAGTGAAGTTGTCAACAAGATAAGGTATTGAGGTTGTGAAAGGATTTGTAAAATATAGCACATTCAAGGTGGAAAAAGTTAATTAGTTAAATCTTTTCTAGTTCCTCCGTCTTTTTCTTTTCCTTCTCCTTCTCCAGGTTACATTGTCAGAATATAAAGTTACATTGTCAGCTCACGGCCTCATGGCCCTCTCCTTCTCCTTCTCCTTCTCCTTCTCCTTCTTCCACTCACGCCTTTTCTTTCTCTTACTCACTCCTTCTCTCTCTTCTCCTTTCTCTTCTTCAGTCTTCTTCTTCTTTTCCTATTCCTTTTCCTTTTCCTTATGTTTCTGCATCTCCTTCTCCTTCTTCAAGCTTTTTATTTTTTCCAAAACTCATGCTAAACCCGAAAAAACTAACTAAGCAAATGCAAGAATTTTATCAAGACAAGTCCTCAAAACTGTTGTTGTTCTTCTCCTCGTCGTCATTTTCCTGTCCTTCTCCGTTTCCTTGGTTCTTTATTATTTTCTCAAAACTTATATAATGAACCAAAAAACTAACGAGTACCCTACATTTCATATTCCGGCTGCGTTACCAGCGTGGTTGGCCCTTGTAGTTGGCCCTTGTAGTGCAGTGGTTAACACATAGACTGTAATACCGAAGACGTGGGTTCGATTCCCACCAAGGGCATTTGATATTTTTCTCTTATTCTCTTTATTTCATTACACACACCGAACGCATAATTTATTACTAAAGAACTAACACAGCGAATTCAATATTTTAATCAAGCCAAGTCCGGTAAATAATTAGACTGAGCGTTCAACAACACGCGTACGTATACACACGTTATATTTTCTTAAAAATTCTATTACAAATCTWTAAAGCAAAGCTTAACAGAAAATTTTTTGGTAAAATGCTGTGAAAAGTTTTTAAACCAATAGAATAAAATGCTATTAAATTAATAAATATACGTGGAATGAGAAAAATGATTTCTTATAACTATTCCCGCGTTCAACTACACATTTTGAACTTTATTWTTTTAGTTCGATAACTTTGTAGTATCATCGATTGAAAGCGATAAAAGTGTTGTGTACCCAAAACTAAATTTAGATGAATTAAGCAAAGAATATCAAAAGTAAACAACTTATACTTTATGACTAAATACACCATGTTACACTCGAGATAACACTTCAAAGAGCTTTCGATGCGGAAMGAAATTTTCCATTTCTACCTTTTAACGTAAATGTATATCGTAAACCAAAAAAGTTAATTACRTGACAGAGGGAAACGTACAATTAACTAAAGGGGAAAAAAAGGTTTGATTCACTTGATCTAATTGTTTTTTTATTTGTTTTTTTTTAAATTTTTATTCATTTTACTTATAGCAAACTCTTAGGTTACCAATAGCTAGTGGGTTAAAGAAATGAGACTACAAAACGTATGCGCTGAATAATAAGAGATCAAATAAGAGAGGCTAGGAATCTACTACAGGTTTTCCCCAATTACAATAGATCCTATCAACTAAACGRCATGAATRAATGATTYAAACTAAACTGACCTAAATCGGTCCTTGAATGCCTCTATTATTCTTCAAAGATAGCGTTGTAAAGCTAAAAAGAAACAAGCGAAATTTTCAAAACTTTATTTCAGTGATTTTATGTGCTCACTAAATAAGTGAGACCGTTTCTTAAATAATTCAAATTCATTCTTTGATCATGAGCTATAGTTATATATATATTACATTTTCTTTCTTTCTTTTGCCTTTTTCGTGGTTTATTTTTAGTTAAATAGACTTGTTTCGAAACTGATCAAGTATGAAGACTCATAGAGGTGTCAATCATACGGATAAAGGCATTCAACTGGCTTCCTGACTTCATTTCCTCGCCGTATTTCTCTAAGATACTTTATTTCTTGGCTTTCTTTGGCATTTTATGCGCCATTTCCAGGAAATGACAAAATGAGTTGAGTTAGCCGCCGGATTTGTGGGCCTTGAAGCTGTGATTTTTTACGACTCTTTGCTGAAAGTGTGAATAAGTTMTTTCTTTCTTTCKTTCKTTCRTTCATTCAWTMGTTTATCTTCTTTCCTTYCMCGCATTCACGATCTTCATTATCCATTTTGATATTCTGATTTTTAGTACATTTTCATTCTGATTACATTTCTTATTTAATTTGGGACCATACCTCCAGACCCAGTGCTGAAGCRCAGTATGGCAGCGCGAAGCATTTACGGCTATGCCAGAGATTTCGGCCCCGACACCGCTATCCAATGACTGATCAGGAAGCTCGGCAGAAGCCTAAGGGAGAGGTTAGTCGGCCCCTAGACCGTAGGTGATTAACCCATTGCTATGACCAGCGATTAAAGGAGTGTTTCTTAGATGACTACTTTCTTGTGGTCGCGGTGTTCCATGTGGGATCATTTGATTTTATGTTGAAGATAAATTTTACCAATTGTGGGGTCGTTGGCTCTACGCACATGCGCAAATAGTCTCAAGGTTCTGATTGAGAGCCGCGTTAATTCGAGTTCATTTCGACCCGGTTAACAATCGATGATCAACAAGATTTCAATACTACGTACTGCTGTACAATCTTGTTTATTCAACAATTTATAAATATGCTTACAACCATGCATTCACATTTTGTTGTGAAAAWTCAAGTCAAGGCGTCAACGAGGCATCAGTGACGTCATACACGGCATCGATGACGTAATACAAAGTGCAGTCTGGGAATTCAATAGATATTCAAAACAATTCAAGTCTTGAATAGCGCAGCGCACTGATTCTAAAAATAGCTTAAAGATTCGGACAAACATTGCATTCTGTTTAACCGCTACGAGGATTATACGAACCGATGTTATTATTTTTACTTAAAGTTACAATAATAACCCACGTAGACTAAGATCAACTGCGATGGGCTGTGAAAATTATCTGCTGAAAGTAAACTTGTAAGTTTGTTTGTCCGAATTTCGCCTTTGTCTTCGTTTTTATGACGTCACGGTTGCGCTGCGCTATTCAAACTGCAGTCATTGTAAAGTTACATAAGTTTTAAAAAAATATTTGTTTTGTTTCACGGTTTTTCTTTATATTATTTCGCATCCCTTGAGGATTTTACAAGTAATCTCTAATAAGTTATCCTATTACGTCCCGCGGGTCATTGTGCACGTTGTACCGATATATCCCGCGAGACAGCTCTTACTTATCCCTTTAATATTCTTCGGGATATGTATAACTYATTCTCTGGATGATATCAAACTTTTGAGTCATTTATAAAAAGTCTGATGATCCAAGTTGACTATAATCCCGCGGGAATCCCGCGATGTTATCCCTCGTGAGAGAATCTATATCGCCTCCAGTCGCTTCCTTGGCAGACCGACAGACAGTCTTTAAAAGTTTCCATACATTCATGTCTTTTGTCATGGCAATGGGCAATGATTCCTGAGCACTTTAAACTGCAGCCACTCATTCCAGTTCCAGATATGGCGGGACAAAGAGCCACGCTGAGCATGATCAGAGCTAACACCATGGCAACCTTCATCTGGAAAATAGAAATGACGTACTTAGCTGTGGGACCTTTTAGCTACTGACGTCATCAGCTTAAAATCTATGTCGCACTTGCGCAGTAGCTTTTTTTGTCAATGACTGACCTAATGAAGCGACATCTTGGTTTTTTAAAGAAAAAATRTGTCGATCAAATATATAACAGAAAGCTATTCCAAAAGGTGATAAATTTAAACCGTTTGACTTTTCAAAAAAAAATTTTAAGTTGAGAAATTGAAGAAATCAAATATTGGAATTTGGAAGAATATTAATTTACAATCCAATTGTTTGGATTATATCGTAAAAGCTTCAAAATTGATCGTTTCCTGAACGAATAATCCTTTCAAAAATTGTAGAAAYGAATTAAAAGCAAAAATATCTGTGCTTAACAAACAACAGCGTTGACATCGTACTTTTTATTTGGCCAATTATTCGTAATCTTGGAAGAAATGTTTCGTCCATATTTGATGGTATCATCTTTCAATTTAACATGCAATTAGATTAATTCTTTGCCGGATTAGAGCTGAAACTCGACGAAACTCAGAAGAAAAGAACTACTCAGCAATATTTCTTACCTTGTTCGGTATTCTCTTGCCTCTTTCCTTGTTCAAAACTGTTTTTGTTAGATCTAAAATCTAGAAGTCTAGATTTTTCTAAGACGTTTTCTAAGTCTTTTATGTTCAAGTAATATAATTCAATTGTCAAACTCGGCGCCTTTAAATAGAGAAAACAACAAAACCATAAAATATTGAGGTTTCATTTGCGGTAATCCATGCAAAATGCCACGYTYCCCATCTGGAATAGYTTCAATCAATTCTTTTACGACWTTCGRTCACAAGGCATCTGTCTCTTTATTAGTCTATWTTGTGGCTTACTCCACTCCAAAAARCATAYTTTTTGTGCTAAATAACTTTAAGAAAACGACAGGTAGTATTACTACKTGATTGGGATATTTTTAGAAATTATTGGAGTCAATTTGAGTATGATGCAAAAAGCGCGGGAAAATTCGACGCGCGCGTGTCATTTATATGTCGATTCTTCTTTCTTTTACTAACTTATCTTTTTAATTCAAGAAAGCCAAAATGATATAAGAAATGAAAACCAAAGATAGAGTAAGATTGATTAGATCTCTTGATAAAATTCGTGGCGCCAATTCTAGATCTTTGGTATTTTTGTACAACAGGTTGGCGAGATTTTTACTAGTTTTAATCTTTCCTCATGATTTACTCATCGCAAATTARACCTTTCAAAAAATTAAGAATTCCTTATTTGGTGGTAACATAAATTATGAGCCATGACATACAGTGATTTTGGACGCTTTTAAGCAATTGTAAAACCATTTTATTTATCGTAGAACTACATAATAAAGGTATTATCAGTATTAAGTGAATTTATTTTCAGTTGAAAAGATTTTGACGTGAGTGGTACGTGTGGAATGGTATACGCATGCTCTGTTGCTAAGACAGCTTGCTGTTATCCGCAAACCWCCGTTTATTTTTCAAGACAATTTGAACCATATTGTAGAATAAAATCCACAACTACTTCAGACAATGAGACTCCGATAATACGAATTTTATCGCATTAAATCATTTAACTCGACCTTCCCTCTCTCCACCCACATTTTTAAGAGATGGTTTCATTTTATGGCATTATCTCCTCTCCTCTCCTCTCCTGTCCTCTCCTCTCCTCTCCTCTCGTTTCTTTCTTTGTTTTAATCCAAAATGCTTGTTCTTTAAACATGGCCAGGTTCAATCCATATTGTTTATTTGCAATTGATATCGATTATACTAATTAACCACAGAAAGCTAGAAGCAATGAGCCTATTTCACTATGACGTCACATCAAAACAATCCATTGTTTAAACGCAAAGGATCATGGTTSTCGGAGGGGKTCAAATCAACGCAAATTCACCGAAAATTGTTCTAAAACCCGTAAATAGGGCAATTGCAAAAAGAATCGTTACAACAGCTATATTTGTAACAGATTTATTGTCATTTTTCTCTTCAAAATAAATAAATACATAAATATATTTCTCATTTTTTCTTAAATATATTGTACTTATAAATACATTCTTATAAAACCACAGGGTTACCAATAGCTTACTTTTTACATAATGATTGACAGAAATAAAGAGCCTCAGGACAGACTATCATTGGTTCACTCTGTATCGAAAGACATTCCTTGAATTCCAACATGCATCGTCTTGCGCAGTAAGACTTGTAATGGACCAATGAGGTAACAGGAGAGCACGTGACGACCACGAGGAAGACGAACACGCAAAGGATTCTGGAACTCATCTGGAGAAAGGTACGTATGATGTATTAATTCAAGATGGCGAATGCCAAAGATGACGGATTTTTTTTTAGATCTCTACTACCAGACTTCCTTGCACACTTTCCTTTGGTTCAGTTAATATAGCACTGATTGTCTTACTATACATTCTCATGAGGGAATACAAATTTAAATAAGAAAGAAAATTCGCCAAGTATTATGGTAGTTGGAGTCAAATGGCGCCTTCATGCAAGCGTCCTATTCAAAGAGGTCTTATGTGTTTTAGCGTCCAAWATTATTCCGTATGTATTCCGACTATACGTCTCAGCATTTTTCGTTCATCTAGTTTAAAAAACGATTTGAGTTAACGTTGTTAACAATATATTCTAAAACATTTATAGTAGGCTTTTATATGCGTATTGTAATTATCCTTCATTGAGGCTCATCAGTAATTTAATTCGTAAAGGACATAATTCGATTCAGTAAAAAATGCGAATAATATTCGAAGAGGTTTCTGATAGTTGTAGTCATAAACGTGAAATACGGGAGAATGATAAATCTTATAAAAAAAGGCGGCGAAGCTGATGGACGAGCAGCCAATCAAATATCACCACGTCAATTTTTTCTCAAATCGAATTTTCTTTCATTCACTCTGTCTTTTTCAGTATCCTTTTCAAAAACTTGAATCGATCGTTCGTAAAATTAAGTTATGATTTTTTTTCTTCCGCGGCGCGATTGTATCAGTGTGATTGGCAAAATTCGATCTGTCATCGAAGAAATAAAATTGAAGGATTCTAATATATTATTATATCAAGTACAATTTTTGTAATTTCCAACAAAGAAAAACCCACGATTTTGTCAATAATGTTTTGCCAAAACGACCCCAAATCATTTATCAAGCAATAGTCTTCTGTTAATCGAGTCATAAAATCTCAAAGCACAAAAACTTGATTTTAAAATAAACTAAACTTAAACTACGTTTCTTACCATCTTATTCTGGCTGCGTCTTGGAGCCCAAAATTTCATTTGATCTTTGTTCTTGAACACTTAAATGGTCGCTTGAACTGAATGTAATAATCCTTTCAAAAGCCATTCTTTTATATCGTTCCTGTACATGAAAGAGCAGATGTAGAATTGAGCAAACAAGGATATAGTCTGTCAAGAGGACCACGTTTTTCTCAACCATGGTGTGAAAATGTTTTTTAAATCAATTAATWTCAATTGTCGCTGATTTTACAACCAAACCACGCTTAAAGAAGCGATATGTTATTTATTTTTAATTTTTTTTAGTCTAAGATTTCATAGTTGTTGTCTTTTTTCCTAAAAAGAAACGCTTAATTGAAATTTGAAACGTTTGACAAAGAAAGCCAAATTCAAGAAATAGGAACTTTGTACTTCAAGTTCAACAAAAAACAAAAATCATTCCGTTTAAGATTCGGTGACTTCTGTGTGGTAAAAAATTTGCTAGGGCATTTTTACTTCATGACAGTCAAATTTCGATAGGCAAAGAGGAAAGAAAGAAAAATAAATAAAAKATTTTTATAATTTTATGATCTTCGTCCATACCGCATTGTCTGGGGGGAAAAACAATGAATGAAAAAAGTAATTTCTGAGATTTAATTTAATGTCGGAAGATGAKCGAAGAAAAGTCATTATTTGAATACGTGGATTTTTTTTTCAGTTCTGTCGTCGTACTATGACCAAACCACTTTAAACGAATAAAAATTAACCAGTTCGGGATTCCAGTGAGTGGGATTAATTGGGAAATAAGGCTTTGTGGCAGAGTAATGGTTGTAAATATCTTTTAATTAAAAGTTGATTTTAAATTTCGAGTCAAAAGAAGATGTAAAAAGGCATCTTAGGCTCAAGTTAAATGTCGAACTTCACATGAGGCGAACTTATTAACATCAAAGAAGACCGCCTTGCTATCCATTGTTTCAATTTGATTCGGCTCATGCGAAATTGGAACTGAACTAAAATCCCAACCAGATATAATAATTTTACCAACACTTCCCCTCTTAGTCATTATTCGTCTTTACATCACCCCCCTGATCATGACGATCGCCCACGAGCAAGACAATCTTACGTCATTCCAGGTTTTATAAATATGCTATTTTCTTCATTTGACAGAAGTTATTTTTGAACCTTTATTCTAAAATTAACCACTTTATTATTATAACCCAAAATTTCATTTCCTTTTTTGGAAAACTGGAATGCTGTATTYGTTATATTCCAGTAAGACAAAACAACCCACTGTGCTTCTTTTTCTTTAGCCAATTAAAGAATACACAAAAAATATATCAATTTCTATTACTTTTGAGTCAGAAATATTTCTCAGCAAGAAGCACAACACACCTGGATGCCTCTCGCCTAATTCATCTATCAGAATCTCTCCAAGACATCACCTATTTGTTTAAAACTATTTTTCAAATTTCAAAACAATAGATCATGGTTTTTTCTTTGATATCTATTGTCTAAATGTTCATATTTCTCCTGACCAATAACTCGTGAAAATACCAAGAAACGTTTTGTGAAGAAAAAAAAAACATATTTGAAAATAAAGTGTAGTTTGATATAACGTTATGAGGATGATTCGAAGGAAAAAGAAGCGCACAAAATGCTCGTTATATTTTATAACAAACGCGTAGAAAACAGAATTCACACGAATTCCTACTTTATATAATTTCACCCAGAGTCTCTGTTCTCGTTAATTATTTTTGTGATATTTATAATGACCTCCTTGAGTTTATTCGCCACGAGGAAAAAACAAACATCTGGTACAAAATAACACTCGAAGGGCAGCTCACGACAATTAAATAGACCTTCATTCGACAATCCCTCTAGAAAACCGTTAATTTAAAAAAAATCTAGACAAAATGTCATTGAATTTTTGATAGCGTTTTCGAGACAAAACAGCAGTTAAAGACCTCGATTACAATAAATAAAAAAATTGAAAACAGAAAGRCATAAAATGGTGTCTTGGAGACCGATGACTGGACCAGGTTTCTTAGATGACATAGGGTGTGATATAATACTCCTTTGAGAGTTTTACCGTTCACCATAGTTCCACGTTTTCCTTTATTAGCATTCACAACCACCTGTTTGCTATAAAAGCTATGCTTCGCTTTAGTTTACTATTGTCCACGATTTTAGATTTAAGTAAAAATATATCTACATTTTCTTGTGAGAAGTATAAGAGAGGCAAAAATGTTTTAAGTTTTGTGATAGCACGATGCATGCTCGAATTTTTGGCGACTTTTCTACAGCTGTTGTATTGTTACAAATGATGTGAGTAGATTTCGAAAATTTCAAAATTTCTCTTGTTCTATTCAAAAATCCCGCCTATATGAATTTTTATACGATATATTTTATTACTTATGAGAAGCCATTTCAACGTTACGGCATGTCCGCGTGTGTACCCAGTACGTGC